TTATTATTATTATTATTATTATTATTATTATTATTATTATTATTATTATTATTATTATTATTATTATTATTATTAAACAGGATTTTCATAGCGTAAGTCACTATAAAAAATTGTTTTATCCACTATTCTATATGTTCTAGTTAAAATCTCGCTTTTTTTCTTTAAAAAGGGAAATATTCTAATCGATGAAAATGGCGGACCGATGATAACTGATTTTGGTTTGTCACGAGTGGAAGATATGAAAAAACGGGCCTCTGGTACTTCCCAAGTTTTCGGTCTCATGGCCTATACCGCTCCAGAACGATTAGAAAACTCCAAGTATCCTTTCGATGAACGATGTGATATCTACTCACTCGGTGTGATATTCTGGGAGATCACAGCGGAACGAAGACCGTTCAATGGACAAAACGATATTTCTCTCGCGTTGAATTTAATGAAAGGAAAACGCGAAAAATTTCCCGAATCTACACCGCCAAAATTTGCTGAATTAGCAATGAGCTGTTGGGATGAAGACCCAGAGAAAAGACCTTCCTTGAGTCAGATAAAGCAAACGTTAAATGAAATTTTGGATGATTTATCAAAATCTGAGAATAATAATTCTAATTTAAATAATTTGAAAAAAGATGACACATTAGGGGATACGAATGATTGTGAAGTATATTATTCTGCCGAGTTAGACTCGTCAAATTATATCACTGCATTATATGATATTCCGTTCGACCATTTGACAGTTGACGATATTTAATAAGAATTTCACTTTAATCATGTTAATTAATAAATATTCAACATACAAACAAGATCTATCGAATCACTGATCGATTGCATGTAAAACCAATCAAATTATCGAAAAATTTTTTTTGATTTTTTTCTTTCGCATATATTAACATAATGCCCAGTGTGAGAACTGAAATTGAAACCTCTGACAAAATGGTCGTCGATGACACTAATAGTCTCACTGATTCACCCAAAAAAAGGAAGTCAAAAAACACCGAAAAAAGTTTGAAAAAAGGGAAAAAAGAAAAAGAAAGACCCGGCGAGAATAAGACCATTAAAGAGAACTCGAGCAGTAATAGTGTTAAATCGAAAGAAAAGAAATCAAAAGACGAAGTTCAGTCATTAAAAGAAATATCCACAGAAAATAACGAGCAGAAAAGTAAAAAATTCAAAGATGTCACAAAAAGAAAAACAGCGACGAGTATAAATGATAGTGGTAGTGGCGATGAATCGCAGAATAGTGTTGAAAAACCGAAAAAGAAAAGAAAAATTGAGAATGGAACACGTTCAGAATCTCCTACTTCTCAAGATAGTGTCATGATCGAATCGATTAATAATGAAAAAGAAACAGAAGAAGCTGAGGTCCCCGAAAATCTGCGATTCTCTTCTTATCGACTATCTCAGATTACTATTGAATCTCTCAAGAAGCGCGGTGTGACTGCCTTGTTTCCCATTCAAGCAGCAACATTTGATTATATATTTGATGGAAAAGATGTTTTGGCCAGAGCAAAGGTATTGACATTCGTATTACCTGAAATCTTTAATAAATGCTAAATCGATCTTGTCTTAAAGAACATAGCTATCAATTTTTAGACAGGAACTGGCAAAACTTTGGCATTTGCACTTCCAATCACTGAGCGACTCATAAATAGTTCAGATTTTGCACAATTACGAAATCGGAGAGGCCGTGCACCTCAAGTAGTTGTAATGACACCAACACGTGATCTGGCCAAACAAGTTGCCACAGAGTTTGGATCAATCGCATCATCCCTGGCTGTTTCATGCATATATGGAGGTGTACCATATGCAGAGCAGTATCGTGAATTACGAGATGGAATTGATGTGCTTGTTGGGACTCCAGGCCGAGTAATGGATCATATTGATCGTGATAATTTGAATTTGGCAGATATAAAGTTTATTTGTTTGGATGAAGCAGATCAAATGCTTGATATTGGTTTCGCGGAAGCTATGGAAAAAGTATTGCAACATGTCAAAGAACATAAAGAAAAAAAAGGAAAAGGTGTTGATTATCAAACTATGTTGTTCTCTGCCACCGTGCCTGATTGGGTGAAAGAAACCGTAAAGAAATATTTAAAAGAGGATTATGTTAATATCGATCTAATTGGAAAAATGGATAACAAGACTAATGGTATTATTTTTAACTATTTCTTTCAAGTTACTTTAGAGCTAATTTTATTTCAGTATTAATCAATATCATTTAATTGTTGCTTATAGAAAATATTTGTCATTATGCTATACGTTCTGCTTGGCATTCCAGAAAAGACATAATTGGCGATGTAGTCGCAACTTATGGTGGTTCTGGATCTTGTGTGATCTTTTGTAATACAAAAAATGATGCAAATGGTATTTTATTAATTTCATAGTAATCTATTATCAAAAGACGCAAATTGTTAATATTTTAATATCTCGAATCAACAGAGCTTGTACTTAACGATAAACTAAAACAAGATGCCCAAGTATTGCATGGAGATATAGCACAATCGCAACGTGAAGTCACAATGAAAGGATTTAGAGAAGGCAAATTTAAATGCATCATTTGTACCGATGTTCTTGCTAGAGGAATTGACATTCCCCAAGTTGGTTAGTATATTTTGAATTGTTGATATAACTTTTTTTTGGTGGTTCAATGCTAATTGTCACTCGTCAAATATAATAGATTTAGTAATCAATTGTGAACCACCAAAGGATGTGGAAACTTATGTTCATCGTTCTGGAAGAACTGGTCGAGCTGGACGTCCTGGAACAGCAGTCACATTTTTCAAATCTCAGGAAGAATATCTAATAAATAATATTCAACGAAAAACTAGAATTCAATTCTCTATCGTTGGCCCTCCACAACCAGTTGATATTGTTGCTGCAACAGCTCAGGATGCAGTTCAAAATTTGGAATCAGTAAACCCGAGTATATTGCCATATTTCCATGCCACTGCAAAATTACTAATCGATAATAAGGGTGCTATTGAAGCATTAAGTGCAGCATTAGCTTACATGACCGGATATAGTAATGGAATTAAAACGAGATCTTTATTATCTGGAAATGAGGGTTGCATCACATTGTTATTTCGCTTTAGTTATCCAGTTCGACATGTTAGCTACGCGAGAAATATTCTAGAAAGAAGTTTTCCTAATCTGAAATCTGATCAAGTAAAACTGATGAGATTGACTAAGGACGGATTAGGAATTGCGATGGATATTTTATCTGAAAAAGTGGAGATAGGCATTGGTGAAGAAGAGGGTGACTTAATATTAGCAGGTACAAAATGGCAAAACACAAAGAGCACAACTTTGGAGGTGTGTAAAGAATTGCCGGAACTGTTGGATCGTGATTATACTAATTATAATGGTAATAATAATGGAAATAGTAACAATTATCGTGGAAATGGTGGTGGTAACGGAAGAGGTAATAGATATGGTAATGGTAATGTCGGAAAAAGCAATTATGGAAATGGAAAACGTGCGAATGGTCGAGGAAATGGTTATTCTCGTGGAGGCGGTAGAGGAGCGCATAGATCATAGATTACAGTAGAGTTTGTAAAGTTTTTTCGATATAAAGTAAAAAAGCTCAAATATCGATGTAATATTATTATGACTTTCAATTATATTGTATCTACGAAAAAATTTTAATCTTGGATAATCACATTTAAAATAAAAATTCTTTATTTCAAACTTATTATCAATCAGCCTATAAGTAACAATAATATAATTAGACCTTTATAATCACATCGCTCTATAGTATCACTAGTTTGTTCATTATTTTTATCTCATGATTTCAGTGACATTTATAATTAGATCCAAAATCAAAATAATATAAGTAATTATATTTTACTTTTTCTTAATATATTAATATTATGTAAGTATAATAATACTAAAAAATATATATAATTTCTATTTTGGTATAAATAGATAAAGAAACTAATAAAATTTTAATTTTAATAAAATCTAATAATGAATATATTATATTTTTTTATGATATATTTCTTTATCTTGCTTTTATTTAATTCTTTTCACTTTTTTCTTCATTTTTCTCTTCATTATTCTTGAATAAATATTATTAAGAAACTGAATTTCTTTTTCTTATTCAAATAATTATATAATATTCATTATGTTTCAATTATAATAACAAGTATTTTTTTTATTTCTAATATCAAATAATTATTAAATATAATACTTGAGCCAGCTAATTTACTTGATATTTTTGTTATTAATAATATTAATTATTTAATTATACAAAAAAATTAATATATCAATATAAAAATTAATAATTATTTTTAATAAATTTTAACTAATTTTTATAATTTTTTTATATTAAATAAAAATTAATCCAAATTAACTTTTTATATTATTTTAATTATTATATTATACTTTAATTTAATAATAAATAAAGTATTATTTTATTAAAAAAACTAAAATAAAATTTTTTTAAAAAAAAGATATTTTAAATATTATTATACTTTAAATTTTATAAAAATTAAATTAGTAATTATAATTTAAATAAATTTCAATATCTAATAACTTAATTAAATAAGATAGAATTAAAATTTTATTTTGAAAAAATAATTTAT